GTTGACTCTGCCCACTCCTCTCGCAGAGCAGGATTACCGGCGTCGACGGTGAGCACTTCTGGGATCGATTTATCACGTCTAGACAAGGCGCAATAAATCGATCCCAGAAGATCGATTGCTGGCCGCCGAACCAGTGGGTAAGTATAGACGTACCCTATGACTACACCCAAAATACACTCCTACGATAGTTTCAAAATTTCATCAGTCAGTTCATTTATCTGTTTGGGGGAGGGGGGGTGTTTTTTCCCAAAGCCCTATCCCTCTGGCAAGGAGAGGAGACGTCATTCCCTTGATGAGGATTGGCATTTTATCTGTTAAGAATGAAACCCATCAGAAAGTCCCCTAGACTGTTTGATGCAGAATGAGTCTGAGGTCAAGTTACATTTTCTCAGAGGATCTCTGAGTGGATCTCTAGCTGGATCCTACTCTATCAGTTGGGCACACACTACAAAGGCACGAGGGGCTTCAGTGGCATCACTGCAAGAGGTACTCCTGCTCGATATTTGCAGGGCAGCCACGTGATGTTCTAGCCGCATAGTCATGAGACATTATTCCATGGTCCAAGCCTTCTCTGCTGACACATCGTCTGGGCAGCAGTTCTACAAGCAGCCATACCACCTGCATCCTCACTCCGTCGTCCTCTCTGAGTACTGCTTGTCAGTGGAATACACGCAAGGACCAGCACTTGAAGAAGAAAAGAAAGTTACTTACCCTATTGCAACTGGAGTTCTTCTTCGAGTGCTTGTTCATGTCCATTCCAATCAGGTGTGTGCGCACGCATGCATGTGCACAGTAGCCAGAAGATTTTCTCATAGCAGTATCCCTTGGAGTCGCGCCTTTATGGCGTTCAATATAGAGCCCTGCCAACCTGACACCTCCTCAGTTCCTTCCGCCAGTGACGGTTAGCTTGAACTTCCCCATGCTCTTGTCTCGGCAAGCACATTTAGCAGTATATATACATAGTTTTCATTAGCTTTATAGTGTTAATTAAATAGCTAGTAGTCCTTATTGTTAAATTAAGTTTCCTTTGGGGTGGGGGGGTTTTCCTCTTATGCTCTTTTGACGCCGGGGTCTCCGGGCTTCAAAGCCTGCGAAGCCTGCGGGCAAGTGAATGCCCAGAAGCGATCCTTCGTGTTTGAAGTGTTTAGGAGAGAGCCATCAGAAGGATCATTGTGCCATCTGCAAGACCTTTTGGCCCACGACATTAAAGGATAGAGATCAGTGCCTGAAGGTGCTGTTAATGGAGGCTGCACTCTGTCCCCAGTCCAACCACGGGTCGACGGACCCTGCCTTGGTGTGGAGCGCTACGGCACCGTCAGTACGAGCACCGGAGGCAAGTAAGGACTCATGGCACCATCCCGGTTCCACTCGTGACTCACATGCCGCACGCAGGCACCATTCTCAATCACCGGTGCCACAGAAGAGGAAGAGGCCGGAGAGGGGTCGTTCTCCCCCTGCTAGGTCTAAGGAGCCAGCTGTTGTGAGACCCAAGTTAGGCCATGCTACTTCCGCTCCACCACTGGTGACTGTCACATTGACTCCTGCCCGCATGGAAGGGCGGTTGAGTCCAGACCCTCCTCGTTCACCAAGGCCCAGCCGGGAGCTGTGCCTCCCTTGGACTCCAGAGGCATTTGAGGCAGCCCAAGAACTGCTCCATCTCACAGCACCGTTCTCCCTTGCTAGATGGGGCAGGTTGCCGGCACCAGTTGCTCCCCGTGCACCTTCCAGGGGAAAGCCCGCCATGATGCCCCGCCGATCTCCAACCCCGGCGCACCACTCTCCAGCACCGGAACGGACCCAGCAGCCGCACCGGTCCCTAAGCCCTGGGCGTGAATGGTCAGCACCTGGAAATACCGCTCCTCCGTGGTCCTCTTTTTCAGACACATCGGAGTCTGACTCCTGTCGGTCTCGTAGGAGCAGGAGCAGACGGTCCGCGTCAACACAGGACCGGTACCCTTACCCGGCACTGTGGCCCGTGCAATAGCAGCTTCTTGCGCAGTGGCCCTTTGGATTCCCTGGGCTTTTCATCAAAGCCAAAGTCAGAGTCAAGGGTCACATTGCAGGGTGATGTCGGTGGCTGCGGTCCTGTTCGTACCCCCTCCAGCATTGTTGGCATCAGCAGGATCTGGGGTAGCCCCATTGCCACCCGGCACGTCCATTCTGACGCCGCCGGCACCGGCCCCAGTTGTTTTAGCTCCAATCTCTCCGACACCAACAACGGCTTTGGCACCAACTGCAATTCCGGCATTGACGATGGCCTCAGCACCGATGACACTTTTGGCACTGGCGGCGGTGTATGCAATCCCGACACCGAGGGGCGTGACACCATGCGGGTTGGCACCAGCCCAAGAAATCCAGGTGCCACAGGACCCCTTGCGTGTAGAAGGAAGGGAGCAGCCACCTCTTACGGGAGTCTCTTCCTCATCCTCACCGGACAAGGCGCTGCCAGGCACAGCTACGGCCCCAGTGCTGGAGGACAGCAGGGTGCTATAGCAATTGCTGCAGCGGGTTGCCCAGGGCCTGGTCATTCAGGCAGAGGAGGTAGTGGAGGACACAGATCCAATGGTAGACATTCTTGCCCCCTCTGGACCTGCACATATTGCCCTGCCTCTTATAAAAGACCAACTCTGACACCACAAAAACTTTGTGGCAGACCCCAGCTGCATTGTCCCTTACGGCTAAGCGCAACGAAAGGCACTACTTTGTGCTGTCCAGGGGCTACGAGCATTTGTATACCCCCACCTAATTCTCTTGTGGTTGATGCTGCCAACCAAAATGAATGCTAGGGCTCCAGGGACTCTCCCTGAAGAATCGGGAGGCATAAGAACATAAGAATGGCCGTACTTGGTCAGACCAAAGGTCCATCTAGCCCAGTATCCTGTCTACTGACAGTGGCCAATGCCAGGTGCCCCAGAGGGAGTGAACCTAACAGGTAATGATCAAGTGATCTCTCTCCTGCCATCAATCTCCACCCTCTGACAAACAGTCTAGGGACACCATTCCCTAGATGCAAAACAACTCGACCTTTATGGGAGAAAGGTCTATTCCACTGGCAGATTGCAGCTCTGCATCTTTAATCAGCAGGCCATTGTCAGCAGGTACTGGTATAACACATGTGGGGCAGTGGCGAAGTTTGCGGAACTGATGTTGCAGGACTCCCGCGTTGAGTTTTTGGCTCTGGTGGAGGAGGGGAAGCTCATTTCACGAGCTTCGCTACAAACCGCACTGGACGGAGCGGCTATCCGCATAATGGCCATGGGCATAGCCATGAGAAAGGTCTCCTGGCTCCAGGTCTTAGGCCTGCCGTATGAAGTCGAACAGACTATTCAGGATCTCCCATTCGAGGATTCAGCTCCTTTCTGAGAAAACAGACAAAAGGCTACATAGCCTAAAGGACCCGAGAGCCACTCTCAAATCATTGGGCCTCCATACTCCTGCTACACAGCGGAAGCATTTTAAACCGCAACCTCCTCCGCGCTTCTACCAGCAGAACTATCAGGCCGGTTCCTGGAGGAGGAATGGTAGTGGCAGGAAAAAGCCTCACCCATCCTCAGGCCAGGCTCTGGCCAATCCAAACCACCTTCCAGTCCCAAACTGGCCTTTTGAAGGTGCAGTTGAGGACGGTGCCCCAGAATAAAAACTGGATCTACCCCACCTTACCTTTTTCGTCCCAACTGTCCCCTTTCTACCGTGCGTGGTCCCGTATCACTTTGAATCGCTGGGTGCTCTGTACGGCAGAGAGGGGGATACTCCATCCAATTCTGTGCCCTCCCACCCCTCTTCCCCGTCCCTCTTCAGGGACCCCTTCCCCTAGCAATTCCTTATACTGGAGGTGCACTCACTCCTTTTGCTAGGGGCTAGGGAAAGAGGTTCCTCAGGAACAGAAGGGCATGGTTTTCTATTCTCGGTATTTCCTAATACTGAAAGCCAAGGGTGGGCTCAGGCCCATACTAGACCTGCGAGAATTCGACAAATTTGTGAAGACGCTCAAGCTCCGCATGGTCTCTCTGGCCTCCATCTTCCCTTCATTGGATCCAGGAGACTGTATGCCACCCTCGACTTGGAGGATGCATACTTTCACATAACGATAACTCAGTCCCACAGAAAATACCTCAGGTTTGTGGTGAACAACACCCACTGTGAGTTCACAGTACTCCTGTTCTGCCTGTCGGACACTTCAAGTATTCACCAAGTGCATGGCAGTCGTGGCCACATTCCTCCACAGGCGACAAGTACAGGTCGACGACTAGCTGATCAAAGGCTGATCCAGGACTCAAGCCTTCATAAGAGCTTCTTTCGACAAACTGGGTCTGCTACTGAACAAGGGGAAATCAAAGCTGTCCCTGGTTCAGAGGATAGGATTTGTGGGGGCAATACTGGACTTGACACACGCCAGGGCATTTCTTCCAGAAGTGAGATTTCAAGCTCTGGGTGACATTATTCGAGGTCTCAGACAATTCCACAGCACGGAACTGCCTGAAACTTCTTGAACATATGGCAGCTTGTACCTATGTAGTACAGACTCACACTTTGACCTCTTCAGTCATGGCTGGCGTCAGTGTATCGGCCAGCCCAGGACAATTTGGACAGGATTGTACCCCTGCCTCGTCCGGTACTCGACTTCCTCCTGTGGTGTCTCGACCCGCAGGTAGTATGTGCAGGGATCCCTTTCACCACTCCTCAGCCATCCCTCTCGCTAGTGACAGACGCGTCAGACTTGGGCTGGAGCCACATTTGGGAGACCTGAGAACACAAGACTTCTGGTCTCAGGTGTATCTTGCTCTCTACATCAATGTCAGAGAGCTGAGAGCGGTATGCCTGGCATACCAGATTTTCCAAGCATATCTAGCAGGGAGACGTGCATCAGTCATGACAGACAACACCACGGTGATGTTTTATAGCAACCAACAGGCGGCTGCATGCTCCTCTCCCGTGCCCGGAAGCCTCATGCTATGGGACTTCTGTGTAGAACACTCTGTACACCTGCAAGCATCGTACCTCCCTGGAGTACAGAACGAGTTGGCAGACCATCTCAGCAGGTCGTTCTATGGACACGAATGGGCCCTTCGCCCAGACATCGTGAACTCAATTTTCCATCAGTGTGGTTTTCCCCAGATAGACCTGTTCACCACGCGATGCAACAGGAAGTGTCAGCAGTTTTGCTCTTCCTGAATCACAGCCCAGGCTCCATCGCGGACACGTTCCTCTTCCCATGGGGAGGCCGTCTCCTATACGCGTTCCCACCCATCCCTCTCGTTCACAAGGTGCTCAAGATACAGAGGGAAGAAACTTTGGGATTCTGATAGCTCCAGCCTGGCCCGCCAACACTGGTACGCATCACTCCTGCAAATGTCTGTGGAAGCTCCAGTCACGTTGCCGCTCTTCCCGGACTTACTAACTCAGGATCACGGCCATCTCCAGCATCCGAGCCTAGAGTTGCTGCACCTCACAGCATGGAAGCTCCATGGCTGAAACCAGTGGAGCTCTCCTGCTCAGACTCGGTTAGGCAAGTCCTCCTGGTCAGTAGAAAGCCCTCCACCACCAGGGCTACCTACCTTGCTAAGTGGAAGAGATTTTCAATCTGGTCGGCACAGCATCATCCATCCCTGACGCTCGCCTCTGGGCCACTTATATTAGACTATCTCCTCCATCTCAAGCAGCAGGGGCTGTCCATGTCGTCAATAAGGGTCATCCAGGTGCAAAAGACCTCTCGGTCTTTGCCTACCCTATGGTCAGCCGTTTCCTTAAAGGGCTCAATAGGCTATACCTGCATGTCCGGCAGCCTGTCCCGGCTTTGGATCTCAATCTGGTCCTTTCCAGACTCATGGGACCACCCTTTGAACCTTTGGCGACGTGCTCCCTGCTCCATCTCTCATACAAGGTAGCATTTCTGGTAGTGATAACCTCAGCCAGGAAGGGTGTCTGAGCTCAAGGCCCTGACTTTAGAGCCCCCTTACACTGTGTTCCATAAGGACAAAATCCAGCTGAGACCTCACCCAGTTTTCCTCCTGAAGGTTGTCTCCCAGTTTCACATCAACTAGGACATCTTCATCCCAGTATTTTATCCTTAACCGCACTCAAGTGGCAGGTAGCAAAGACTTTACTCATTGGATGTCTGCAGAGTGCTAGCCTTCGACAGAACAAAACCTTTCCGAAAGTCGGTGCAGTTATTCGTGGCAGTGGCGGACAGAATGAAAAGTTGTCCTGTCTCTTCTCAACGGATTTCGTCATGGATCATGTCCTGCATCCGGGAATGCTACAACCTGGCAGGGGTCCCTGCTTTTTCGATCACTGTGCACTCCACCAGAGCTCAAGCCTCTTCAACAGCATTCCTGGCACAGGTTCCCACCCAGGATGTTTGCAGAATGGCGACATAGTCCTCCATTCACTCTTTCACCATGCACTATGTAATAGCCCAGCAGACCAGAGACGATGCAACCTTTGGAAGAGTGGTGCTCCAATCAGTGGACGACTCTGACGCCACCTCCTGAACTTGAGCTTGTGAGTCATCTGATTGGAATGGACATGAACAAGCACTCAAAGAAAAAACGGTTATTCACCTTTTCTTAACTGTTCTTTGAAATGTGTTCATGTCCATTCCAATACCCAGCCTCCTACCCCTCTGTTGGAGTAGCCGTGAAGAAGGAACTGAGAGTGTGGCGGGTCGGCAGGGCTCTATATTGAGCGCCATAAAGGCACGACTCCAGGGGGCGCCTAGGCCGACCCGACAGATGCTGCTATGGGAAAATCTTCCAGCTACCGTCCACGTGCGTGCGCGCACACCTACTTGGAATGGACATGAACAACACATCTCGAAGAACAACAGTTACGAGAAGACGAGTAACCATTTTTTCTTCAAGATGTGCAGGCCTTATCTGTATTCCACTACCTGTCCTCCTTCCCCACTGCTTCACATAATGACTAGATTTGACTAGAGAAGGATCAGTCTGCCCCGTCCCACCCCTTATACCCTCCGTATAGAGCATGAGGAGAGCAGGGATGCAGGTGCAGACCAACTACTTGTAAGAATTTTCCGGTCTTAGGTCAGTGCAGCGTAGGAATACCCACAGTGGAATACAGATAGGGACCAGACATCTCGAAGAACTCCAGTTACAACAAGATAATTAACGTCCCTTTTCCATTATAACTTTATAAATATAATTTTTTTTTATAACCCTAATTTTGACTCTATTCATGAGGTTGGGACTCTTCATATGTACTCTTAAAGCAAGAGGAAAATTTTGGGGGCAAGAATTTTAAATCAATCTGACAAGCTAATTTTGAATCATAACCGTTGAAAAATTGAAATGATTTGGAGAGAGGGGGTGGGGGAGGAATTGACTCTAGGCCTCATGTCAGTCTGTCATTCTGAGGCTATGTAGTCCAAGGAAAAGTATAGCAGGCGTATTCCATATTAAAATATTTTTGTTAAAGACTGTTGGGGAGACCCAAAAAAGATATGTGACGTTTACAATATATCAATGGTCAAAGCAGAGCCAGAGGATGGATTGATTGACAGGATCCAGTCACTGCTTTTGCAAGTTGTTTCTTGACTAATTTGAGATCAAGACAGGACGAGCTGGATAGTTCGAGGGGCTGAAGGTAATAGAAGTTTTTTCACAATTAGCATGTTGAGGTAAAGATCCAGGTCCTCAAAGCATTAGGTGTTTAATTTCTTTTGGGAATGGGAGTTAGGTATCTAAATAATTTTGAGGATCTAGGCCAAGATGTCTTTTTCACTAGCCATCGCTCCTCAAAGGGCATGAAAACTTTCTGCGAGAGGGGAATTCTGCCCTGTCTCATGCTGGAAGTACTAGACTCAGCTGAATGAAAAGGTTGTAGTGGATGTATTTTTAAAGGGAGAATTTTATCACCTTTTGATAATTAGCTGGCCATAATGTGGATATTTTAAAGTATTGGCTACTTTGGAGCAAGGCTCTCCAACTGGAAGGGACAGTGGTCTGTCCCGCTATGTTCAGTGTTGTGTAAATTGTTGAGATTAAAGTTAGTCTTAAACCTTTAAAAAATTATTTTACCAGATGTAGTATATGTATATTTTAAGTGTTTAAAATTATGGTTTTTTAGGTATTATATGTCTGTACAGGTTCAGCTGCAATGTGATGTGATCAATATCCCATGTCCTAAACAGTCGTTTCAGGCCTGAATACAATTCTTCCTAAATATTTATTTATGCTTTATAATATCCTCCTGTATAATCTAGGCTCCCACTATTTGTAGATGAGATAAAAAATAGCAGCTGAGAAACAAAGTAAATAAATTAAAGTTATATCAAATTATTATTTATTTAACAGGGAGAACTCAAAGGAAGGAACAGAGCTTATGTCCTGGGATTCTTAGGTGAGATTCCATATACAGCATACTGATGCTCAGTTGTCTTTAAGTATAAGATTATTACAACTAGAAAGGGAGTCGCCCATCGTGTCCTATTGTCTTATGATTAAGTGAACAACATAGTTTTTTCTTTAACTATTGAAGTGTGTTTGCATGAGAGAGAGACAGAGTGCAAGAGCAAGTTGAAATAGTCAAATTAGAGCAACAGAAGTGTTGAGTGTAGTTCCTGGGTTCCTCACCAGAAAGGAATGGTTGCAATCTGCTGGTTAGCTAGAGGTACACCTCTACCTCGATATAACGCTGTCCTCAGGAGCCAAAAAATCTTACCGCGTTATAGGTGAAACTGCGTTAAATTGAACTTGCTTTGATCCACCGGAGTCCCGCCCCCCCCGGAGCACTGCTTTACCGCGTTATATCCAAATTCGTGTTATATCGGGTCGCGTTATAGCGAGGTAGTGGTGTGCAAGAAAGTATCTCTTCTTGTGTGACTTAAATACTTTTGCAAAAATAAAATATGAAAATATTAAGTATATAAAAACTGTCAAAATGTGATGAAGCAAATAGTTTGCAATCTAGTAGGCTCTTATGTTCTCAGTGCCTCAAATTTCTACTTTTGAGTAGAACAGTGACCCCTAGTAGGAGATGTTAAAGTAAACAAACAAAACCACTGTATCAAAACTGTCAGAAGTAGGGAATGGGTTATTACTTTAGCTGAAACATTACATAGCTAATAAAACTTTCAATTGTTTAAATTTCTGCACAGATTATAACATTCACTTGCAAATACACACTCCATGATTCATAATGTATGTAGCCATTTTACCACAGTGAGCATATAATTAATTGCATTTAACACAGTGCAGTTTAAAAATACCAAAAATAGATTATTGATCTTCATCAAAACATTGACACAATTACAATAACTAATTTAGGGTTTTGTATAGTCTGTCTCATCTACCAAAAATTAGATTTAAAGTATGGAATTTTAATGGAACATTGAGTGGACATATACTGTCCATCAGTTTAGAGAGCTGAATTTTGCATCTCAAGCTAATCCCCAAATCTCTTTATCTTAAATGTCTTGGAGTTTCACCACTTTCTTCATGTGTTAAAGTTTAAAAAATAAAGCATAAAACCCTTTTTTGTAGTGGGAAACGGTTCAGTCCTTCATACATTATATACAAGCAATTTCCCGCTTGGCAGGTCAATATTAAAGAACCCTCAGCGATCATCCTTAGTTATTCTGTCATTCTCCCAGTGGCAGCTGGGCTAGCAGTGGGGTCTGTCAGTACTACTTGCTGCAGAAGTAGTAAGGCTGGTGCAGATAACCTCTTGGGTTATTCTGTGGGAGTGTAGCCAGACTATTTTATGAATATGCTTTACAAGATAAGTTTTAATTTCATCATCTAGATGTACTTTTACATTTAGTCCTGCAGTTTATTTTCTACATATCCCCATAATAAGGTGCATAAATGGTGCCAAACATTGTATGGTCTGCAGCACTACATATAGACTGTAATGGGATATATGCATCAAATAAATTTTGAGAAATTGGCCTGATGGCATTAAGTATGCCAAACAGCCTATCTTCAGAAAAGTAAAACATGTTTCATAACAGCTGAAATGAAATACAAAGTGGCAGGACAAACTTCTAGTTACAGAAAATGAAATCAGGACTAGGATTTAACAAATAATGAACACTTGCATTGTCACTAGGTAGCAACGAAGAAAAAGTTCTAAAACTGTTTTTGTTAAATCCTACTTGCAACAAAATTTTAAAACATGGTTAATGAATACACTTTTCAGCAAGAGAGCTTACCTCAGGAGGGAGTGGTTCTCAATGTTATCAGAACAATCATTTCATTTGCAAATTGAGTTCCTACTGCCTATGAAATGCAAATATTAGAATGGAGTGGCGGGCTGGTAGGGCAAGTGCTGATTGTGATACTCCTTTGTGTGTGGACTCTCATATGAGGCAAAGGTGATGGTTGGAGGAATTAAGGTGTGGTGCTTAGACCCATGGTTGGAGGAAGCTTCTCCTGTTTTTTGATAGTGCACTGGACTGTTGGACCCTGAGGTGATGGCTTGGTGACCCTACTTTTCTCCTATTTCTAGGTTAATTTTTTAAAAGTTGGGGTCGTTGCTTTACCTGTACCTGTTGGTGGCTGACTTATTCCTGGCTGTGCCTGGTAAAAGGAAATCGGTTTAGAAGCAGGCTTGTGCAACTCTATCCGACAGATGAATGCGTTACCTAGATTCTTTGTCTTCCCAGGTTTCTGATCAATATATAGGGTATGGTCAGATTTCCATCATATGGGAAATCAAGCTACTGAACATTTCATTGCTTTAAAAAATAATCTAAAACTAAAAATAAGAGTTTGGAGCACGTGCACTTTAGCTAAACAGCTTTTTAGAAACTGGGAGACCATTTTTATTTTAATGTGAGCACTTTAATATTGTCATCTGACCTCCCAGGCTCACAGCCCACTTCCCTCACCTCCAAGGGCAGGCTCTGTCATTGCCCAGCTCTGGCCAGCAGAGCAGACAGTGCTGCTGCTCTCCCAGCGCTACCCTCCACCAGCTCCCGCCATCTGCCCGTGAATGGACACGGGGACAGCATCTGGCTCACCTCTCTTCTGAGTTGCTTGTTGGATGTGCAGACATATTCACTGGGCAGCAAAGGTTGGGGACATAAGGGGAACCCCAAGCCCAGTAGAACAGGGACAGGCACAGACCTGGGGAAGGGTGGGAAGTAAATGGAAAGACCACATGGAGAAGAGTGGGAAGGAGCCAGGAGAGAATAGGCTCCCAGGGTGGGGTGGGAATTCTGCAGCAGAAGGAGCAGAGTGGGATTCTGGAAGGAGAAAAGGGAGTGCTGGAATTGAGCTAGGAGGAAAAAACAGAAGAGAGAAAAGAGCGAAATCCAAGAGCTGAGTTTCTCTTAAAATTCATTTATGGAAATGAAAAGGCCAAAGTATTCCAGAAATTACATGGATAGATTGCTTCTGTAGGATGAGATGGAGGCACTGGCAGACCAAGTTGTGAATGGGGGTGAACAGCGCAATCCCACAGTTCACTGTATGGAAAGGAAATACACTGCTCTTGTTTGCTGCTTATTTTTACTCTGCTGATTGTGGGCATTCTGGATATTTGTATGTAACCCTTGTGTACTACTGGAGAGTTCAGTTGTTTTTGCTGGGGTTAGTGTGCGCACTTATTGCTAGTCCAAAAAAATGCTCAGCTGTTCGACTTAGTCTAGTATTCCAAATAAGTACCAGGTGGGCATTCACTATTTTGGGGGTAAACTTTTTGCTATAAATTGTTTTAAAATGCAGGATCCATGTTGTCACTCCTAATAGAAGTACTATTCACTAAACATCTTTATCTTTCAAGAAACAAAAATAAGGAAGATTTAAGCTTTTTTAAAAAAACACACACAAAAAGGAGTTGTGAACAGTTTGACTAGCAAGGGAACATGGATAATGTGCAATCCAGGCATGTCAAAAAGTTGTTGGTGCTGTACAGTACTTATGCTTTCTGCTAATTCAAGAATTGCAGATGGTATTCTTAACAAACTGTCAGTGAGTATCACACAACAAATATGGTGACGTTTTTCGAATAAAATTTTATATGACACTATCCAAAGTAGCACACTGTGTAAAGTGAGCTCTGCTGTAAAGCTGTACTCTGCCCTGTGTCATAACACTAAGGTGAGGCAAGTGCTATTGGCCATGTATATGCTTGTGTGCCTATTAATATCATGTTTGCTCATTCAAGAAAGGAAACTTATAAATATGCAGATGGGGTTGCTTTAAAATGTCACTTTTTTATTGTACTTTATTGATTAAATGATGTAAATTTAAAAGTGATTTGTGTTTATCTCATAAGGTTTTTTGGCAGTTAACCATATTCAGAGAACCTTAATATTACATGATAAATGAAATGTCGAATATTATAATCAAAGGTGGAAAGAGCCACAGTAGAAAAGACAAAAGTCCATATTCCCGTTTCCCACGCTCATGGTATTTGAACAATGGCTTGAGTACTTCCTACACCTTTAACTCTTAACAATATTGGCATATGGTCAATACACAACAATGTTTTATGTCTGAATAGAAGACACTTCTACTAAGTAAGACAATAGATAGTAACTCTGCTTCAGTAAACAGCATATACAAGCATGGTATTTTTGCCACCGGAACTAAGAAATTTTGTTTAAATGAATTTTTGTTTCGCAAATTTTAAATGATGTAAGTAAGGGAAAAACTAAAAACTTGATGACACAATAATTTTTCTTGGCCATGTACTGTAATTTAAAATGGGCTTCATAATAAATATAAAGTTAAATCTGGAAAACAATTATCCCAGTGTTGCATCTAAATGTTTGTGATCTTTTTTAATAAACTCCACAGCTATAGAATTAACTAAAAAGTTAAATAAGTGAAAAATGGCAAAAGAATGTCAATTTATTTTTAATATGTACTTCCTTTTTATCTACTGTTGTTTCCTGTACATGGACAAAATACATATTAGCTGTTTTAAAATTCATGTTTTAACATATTAGCTGTTTTAAAATTCATGTTTTAATAAAAATAGTTCTGTAAAAATATAACAACTTTGAGTGAATTATATGCATTTAAAATACACAGTACTTAGTTATCAGGAGGACTGTCAGTTAATTGCAGTTAACTCATGTGACTAACTCAAAAAAATTAATCGTGATTAATCACACTGTTAAGCAATAGAATACCAATTGAAATTTATTAAATATTTTTGGATATCTTTCTACATTTTCAAATATATTGATTTCAGTTGCAACACAGAATACAAAGTATACAGTGCTCACTTTATATTATATTTTTTATTACAAATATTTGCACACTAAAATGATAAACAAAAGTAGTAGTTTTCAATTCACCTCATACAAGTACTGGAGTGCAATCTCTTTATCATGAAAGTGCAAGTTACAAATGTAGGGTTTTTTTTGTTACATAGCTGCACTCAAAACCAAACAAATGTAAAACTTTAGAGCCTACAAGTCCGCTCAGTCCTACTTCTCGTTCAGCCAATCGCTAAGAGAAACCAGTTTGTTTACATTTATGGGAGATAATGCTGCCCACTTCTTAATTACAATGTTATTTGAAAGGGAGAACAGATGTTCGCATGGCACTGTTGTAGCTGGCGTCGCAAGATATTTACGTGCCAGATGCACTAAATATTCATATGCCTCTTCATGCTTCGGCCATTGTTCGAGAGGACATACTTCCATGCTGATGATGCTCATTAAAAAAATAATGCGTTAATTAAATTTGTGACTGAACTCCTTGGGGGAGAATTGTATGTCCCCTGCTGTTTTACCCACATTCTGCCATATATTTAATGTTCTTGCAGTCTCAGATCATGATCCAGCACATGTTGTTCATTTTAAGAACACTTTCACTGCACATTTGACAAAATGCAAAGAAAATACCAATGTGAAATTTTTAAGATAGCTTCAGCACTCGACCTAAGATTTAAGAATCTGAAGTGCCTTCCAAAATCTGAGAGGGATGAGGTGTGGAACATATACTTTCAGAAATCTTAAAAGAGCAACACTCTCTGGTGCAGAAACTACAGAACCCAAACCACCAAAAAAGAAAATCAACCTTCTGCTGGTGGCATCTGACTCAGATGATAAATATGAACATGTTGGTCTGCACTGCTATGGATCGTTACCAAGCAGAACCTGTCATCAGCATGAACGTATGTCCTCTGGAATGGTGGTTGAAGCAGCAAGGGATATATGAATCTTCAGCGCATCTGGTATGTAAATATCTTGCAACACTGGCTACAACAGTGCCATACAAATGCCTGTTCTCACTTTCAGGTGATATTGTAAACAAGAAGCAGGCAGCATTATCTTCTGCAAATGTAAACAAACCTGTTTATCTGAACGATTGGCTGAACAAGAAATAGGACTGAGTGGACTTGTGAGCTCTAAAGTTTTATTTACATTGTTTTATTTTTGAACACAGGGTTTTTTTTGTACATAATTATACATTTGTTAGTTCAACTTTCATGATATAGAGATTTCACTACAGTACTTGTATTAGGTGAATTGAAAAATATGATTTCTTTTGTTTTTTACAGTGCAAATATTTGTAATAAATATAAAGTGAGCACTGTACACTTTGTATTCTGTTGCAATTGAAATCTATATATTTGAAAATGTAGAAAACATCCAAAAATGTTTAAATAAAAAGTATTCTATTATTATTTAATTGCATGATTAATCGTGATAACTAGAGCTGTCAAGCGATTAAAAAAAAGTAATCAGTTATGGTTCTGTTATTGGACAGTCTCATTAATTGTCCATTTTTAAAATAAAAATACATATACAACTATAGTAATATGATGAGGAGTGTTAATAAAAACAAAGGAATTCAGAGAGAGAATGATAGATTTTTATTCATAGCTCCATCTCTTGTGGATTCTGTATTATAAGTGTGGCTGCATATTTGCAGAGACTTCTGCAAATAAAGAACAAATGAAGATTAAGGAAAGTTTCTTTCTTTAACTTTGAATTTTCTAATAATTCTTGTTTTAATCCAAACTATCAATTAGTTTGGTGGGAGTTTTTTTAACCTCTGAATTATTTTTATATTTCTGCTGTTTGTATCACTATGGGGAAGAGCATTCAAATAGATCACAGATTGGCTTTTGTAATCCTGAAAGACTTTTAAATGTTATTGCTATAAACATGTCAACATCTCATATTTAATAGAGAGTTTTGGTAATTTTGCATATTTTTTGTTGTTTTTTTTAAGGTGTCTCCTCTCTGCATGAAGTATTCAACAGTGTTGCAAAAGTCTGGATGTACTATGGAGCCTCCAAAATATTTTTTACTGTAAGTTTTGAATATTTTCTGTTAACTCTCTTGCACTATTTACTGTGGTGTCTAGAAGTATTTAGTCTATTTATGCAAATTTGACAATCTGTAAGAGAATTGTTTTGTTTAGTAGTTTTTAAAGGTTCCGTTTACGGTAGCATCTAGGCACAGTTTATATAGGTAAAAACAATACCATACAATAGCATCTCCAAAATGAGAAAAATATACTTTGACTATATAACAATGAACCCAGCAGCAGCAGTAGTCTATGAGGAGATTCCAAGAACAGCATTAATGGAACACTTTGCTTCTCCTGGGGTCAGCTTTGGCATGTATCTTGTAGGACTGAATTTCAGGGGTGACATTCTGCTACTAGGAATGCCTTGTACCTGCAGACTTTACAATAGAGATTTGATAGCCTAAGCTTTTCTTCCAAATGCTTTTATCATTGGTAGGCACTGGGGGAAGAAGGGATACCAATGCTAATGACCACTAGGAATCAGGAAGGGAAATTTCTTTCTGTATAGCAATGCATGGTTGGATACATGCATAATCACGGTGGGAGTTACTCCCTCTCAAGCTTCGGGGTAGTGCTGGAGGCAGACTAGCAGAGCAAACAAACTTATTCCTAGAGCTTTAAAAATTAGTTTAGCATAAAATAAACTGGCAGTAAATCATGGTTTTAAGAGTTTTGTATCCATAGACCACTGACACCACTCATTTAGTAATCAGAAATGTTTGTCCAAATAAAAAAACTACATAATCTCATAGTATGTGTATTCTTGTTCTGGAGCAGACTAAAAAAGGACTTAATTAGTTGTCACTCTGCCTCTAATTATCTTGCATCTCAGTCATATCTCCTGTATCCTATTCCAAGCGAATTGCTTTCGGGTGTGTGTGTGCGCGTGCAATATTTAGCTGTTGTATGGTGCTTTTCATCTGTAGAGCTTAAAGTGCTTTGCAAAGAAAGAAACTCTCTCTAATGTAACTGGAGCAAGGTCGTGCAGCAGGTCAGTGTCAGAACTGGAGATATTTGGCTCCACGCATTTAGAAGATTTGCAGACATGCTAGGTAGAGCTTGCAAGTTTCTTGAATCAGACTCTTTGGTCTGGTCTACACTATGAGTTTAGGTTGAATTTAGCAGCGTTAAATCGAATTAACCCTGCACCCGTCCACACAACGAAGCCATTTACTTCAACATAAAGGGCTCTTAAAATCAATTTCTGTACTCCTCTCCGATGAGGGGAGTAGCGCTGAAATCAACATTGCTGGTTCGAATTAGGGTTAGTGTGGACAAAATTCAATGGTATTGGCCTCCGGGAGCTATACCACAGTGGACAGCAATCTGAGCTTGGATGAACTGGCCAGGCAGATAGGAAAAGCCCCGCAAACTTTTGAATTGCATTTCCTGTTTGCCCAGTGTGGAGAGCACAGGTGACCACGCATAGCTCATCAGCACAGGTAACCATGCAGTCCGAGAACCGAAAAAGAGCACCAGCATGGACCTTACGGGAGGTACTGGATCTGATCGCTATATGGGGAGAGGATTCCGTGCTAGCAGAACTAGTTCCAAAAGACGAAATGCCAGAACATTTGAAAAAATCTCAAAGGGCGTGATGGAGAGAGGCCACAATAGGGACTCACTACAGTGCCGTGTGAAAGTTAAGGAGCTCAGACAAGCCTACCAGAAAACCAAAGAAGCAAACGGAAGGTCCGGGTCAGAGCCACAGACGTGCCTCTTCTATGCTGAGCTGCATGCAATTCTAGGGGGGGCCGCCACCACTACCCCACCCCTGAGCGGGGATTCCGAGGAGGGGGTACTCTCGGCCATGCCTGAGGATTCTGCGGACGGGGAAATGAGGAGGAGGATGAGGACGAGCTTGCGGAGAGCACACAGCACTCCGTTCTCCGCAACAGCCAGAATCTTTTTCTCAACCTGACTGAAGTACCATCCCAAACCTCCCAAGGCGGTATCCCAGACAGACCATGAACCCATGGAAGGGACCTCTGGTGAGTGTATCTTTGTAAATATAAAACATGGTTTAAATGCAAGCGTTTTTTAATGATTAATTTGCCCTGCGGACTTGGGATGCATTCGCGGCCAGTACAGCTACTGGAAAAGTCTGTTAACGTGTCTGGGGATGGAGCGGAAATCCTCCAGGGACATCTCCATGAAGCTCCTGGAGGTAGTCCAAAAGCCTTTGCAGAAGGTTTCTGGGCAGTGGAGCCTTATTCTGTCCTCCATGGTAGGACACTTGACCACGCCATGCTAGTAGCAAGTAATCTGGTATCATTGCATGACAAAGCCTGGCAGCATATGGTCCCAGTGTTTGCTGGCATTCAAGCAACATCTGTTCTTTATCTCGCTGTGTTATCCTCAGGAGAGTGATATCGTTCATGGTAACCTGGTTGAAATACGGGAATTTAATTAAGGGGACAGAGGTGGCCATTCCTACTGGGCTGTTTGCCTGTGTCTGAAAAGAAATCCTTCCCTGCAGTTAGCCAAGCGGGGGGGGAGGGTGAGTTATTGGCGCTGAGCTTTTCGCGTTTGGCTAGTAGGGGTGTGGGGAGGAGTAAAGCGATCATCCCAGAGAATTGGATTGGGGGGAGGAGGGGTTAGTTTGGTTTCTGCTGCTGCATGTTAACAGGAAAACCACAGCACTCAACAGGCTTTGCTTGGTATGTGGGAAAGGAAGGCGCTGCTTTTATGAAGGTTGCAGAGGCCGAAAGACAATGGCTTACCATGGCCGCATGCAAGCCGAATTCTGTTGCCCGGACCTGCGTCTGTGATCTCTAACACCTAAGCTGCAGGCACTCAAGATGCAAAATGTGACCTTGTACCGAAATCACGTGCTATGTAATGTGAATAGTGTTGTTCACCGTGAACGAGTATAAGCATTGTTCTGTAAAATGTATCTTTTTAAATACTTCTCTCCCTTTTTTCCCCTCCCTCTCTCAGCTGCAAATTTTTCAAGCCTCCCTCCTCTGTCCCGAAGGCTATCTCAGATAAGGCAGCGAAAAAAACGGACGTGAGATGAAATGTTCTTGGAAATCATGCAATCGACCCGCGATGAAAGAGCTCATCCGAATGAGTGGAAGGACAAGGTCTCAAAGTACAGGAAAGATGCCAGGAGGGACCAACGTGAGGACAGGAGGGACGTTCGAGATGAGAGGTGGCGGGATGCAACGCTGGGGCTGCTGCGTGAGGAAACGGACAAGCTCTGGTGTCTGGTGGAGCTTCAGGAATGGTAGCAGGATCGCAGAGTGCCGCTGCAGCCCCTGTATAACCGCCCTCCCCAAGTTCCATAGCCTCCTCACCCAGACGTGTAAGAACGCGGTGGGGGAGGCTCCATGCACCCTGCCACTCCACCACAGTGGACAGCCCAAGCAAAAGGCTGTCATTATTTTGAACTTTTTTAGTGGCCTTTTCCTTCCCTCCTATCCTCCTCTCAAACCCCACCCAGGCTACCTTGTCAGTTCTCTCCCTATGTTTATAATCAATTAATAAAAAATACATGATATTTAAACGATAGTGTCTTTATTTCCTTTGAAAGCAAGCTGTGATCGAAGGGGGGAGGGTGGGTTACTTACAGGGAATGAGTCAATCAATGGGGCGGGTTCTCATCAAGGAGAAATAAACAGAACTTTCACACCGTAGCCTGGCCCGTCATGAAACTGGTTTTCAAAGCTTCTCTGATGCGCCGCGCTTCATGGTGTGCTCTTCTAATCGCCCTGGTGTCTGGCTGCATGTAATCAGTGGCCAGGCGATTTGCCTCAACCTCCCACCCCGCCATAAAGGTCTCCCCCTTACTCTCACAGAGATTGTGGAACACACAGCAAGCAGCAATAACAATGGGAATATTGGTTTGGCTGAGGTCTGAGCGAGTCAGTAACGTGCGCCAGCGACCCTTTAAACGTCCAAAGGCACATTCTACCACCATTCTGTACTTGCTCAGCCTGAAGTTGAACAGCTCCTGACTCCTGTCCAGGCTGCCTGTGTATGGCTTCATGAGCCATGGCATTAAGGGGTAGGCTGGGTCCCCAAGGATAACTATTGGCATTTCAACATCCCCAATGGTTATTTTCTGGTCTGGGAAGTAAATCCCTTGGTGCAGCCGTTTAAACAGATTAGCGTCATGAACCTTCCCGGCCATCCCACGCTGATTTTGGTGAAACATCCCTTGTGATCCACCATTGCTTGCAGCACCATTGAAAAGTACCCCTTGCGGTTTATGTACTGGCTGCCCTGGTGCTCTGGTGCCAAGATAGGGATATGGGTTCCATCTATCACCCCACTACAGTTAGGGAATCCCATTGCAGCAAAGCCATCTACTATGACATGCAAATTTCCCAGAATCACTATCTATATATATATACATACACAGTGCTCTCTCATCATAGACATAGATCTATGTGTGTATATAATATCTGTAGATGCAACTACATACCTATATAGACATAGCAATCTTTTCTATCTAGAGATACACTGTGGATGTCTACAGTGCTAGATGTAGATAGAGATCTCTGGCTGTAGTTGGCTATCTAGGGCTTCAGCAAGCAACCCATTGGGTTCAGAAGGGCAGAAACAAGCTCTAAATAGGAAAGTTGCTTTAGAATGAAGGAAATATTTGAGTTCTAGCAAATTAAAGCTTCAGTGAGTCTGTAGTTGCGATACCATAGGTAATGTCAATGGGCAGTTTGCCTGAGTAAGGATGAATGGATTAGTCCCTACTGAATGGTCAAGTTTTGAAGTTGCCTTCAATGTTTTTGAGAAATTTTTGCCCCACCTGACAGTCTTTAGTTGTATTTTGTGACTTTGGGGTGGAGAGGGGAGAGTAACTGTTTGATATTCTCAAAATTAAAAATATTGATAATTTCTTTGTGCTTACGCTGGTGGTGCAAAGGGCCATAAACCAGCAGCAGATTATAAAGTAAGCATAGCTTTATGCCTGGCTCTCTCCCCTGAGTGTCCTTCACCATACTCTGCCTCCTCCCCTTAGATTCTGCATGGAGGATTTGGGGTCTAGTAACAGTGTTAAATAAAAATGTAGCATGAAGTAGCCTAGCCGATTAGAGCAATTAATGTATCTAAAGAATTAAACAATAGGTATTAGATGTTTTCTAAAGCAGATGGGCGCATGGCTGTAAGGTTTTGTTAACAGGAAATTAAACTTGCACACGATATTTTATTGATAGACAAAGAATGTTTATTTCCCAGCTATTATCACCCATAGGTCACAAGTACTCTCACCAACATATATATTGACCATCTGTATGGATATAAAATGGACTCCAAGTGCCTATAACTAAATCAATCCACAGAAAAATAGAAAAGGAAAACCTTTACAAAAGCATTTAAAAGCTAGCACCTATTTAAGTATTGTAGATCCCTTAATTCCTCTTCTCCCAGTATCTTCTTTTTTTATATATCTATATTTTCAAACCTTACCCCCTTGCTTCAAATTACTTCTTTTTCTATTTTATCTCTTACACCAAAATCATTGGGACACATTCTGTGGTCCTGAATCAAGTGGGAATTTTGCTCCATTAACAACAGAATATAGCCCAAGCACTATTTTCATTCTACTTTTTCCAATATAAAAAAAAAATGTATACACCACATTCTTGAAATTTTGATTTACAAGTAAATTTCAAGAATCTTAAACTATGCCTGGTACAAATAGTCACAGCTGTTTTTCAGTTTATAAAGGTTCAGTCAAAAACTTATTCATATGATCTTTAATGCACTTTTTAAAACTTAGTTACCTTAAATTTAAAAGTTTACAAGATTATTTTGCCAAATTAGAGATGTTGTTTTTCATAAAATATATCTGCAAAATTGGTACTCATCACTTATGGCCCAGCACTGAGGAGCTGGATGGAGGGAGTTTATCTTGGATGGAGTTGCTCCCAAGTTAAAGCATTTTGGTTAGTTTATGTAGAGAAATTTTCAGAGAGGTAACTTTTACTTCTAGAATTTCTCATGCCATTTTGAGATCACAATTTTTATGTGTGCTTTTTTTATGTATTGATTACATTTCCATTAGTTCTAGATACACCTCTTGGCTGCACTTAGCATTTGATCTCAGTATGGACAGATGATAAGATCTAAGATCCGTGAAGTAATAAAGTAACACTTTAAAATAGTGGTACCAGTTTCTACTGCTAGAAAATCTTGTAAACACTTAAGTGTATCAAAATCATGAGTGCCGCCCTTGCAAGAAATGCTGACGTGCTTACCACAGAGATACATGTCAAACTTTACCGTCATTTGTAATCGATGTAATTTTGTCTCTACCGTTCACAACTGTTATGACAATTATTCTTCACCATGCATGCAGAGAAAAAGCCAACATGCAAACTAAATATAGGTGGGGTTTTTGGTCCTCTCCTTAGTAATGCAGCAAGTAAGACAAAGGAATGGAAAATACCCCTTTACTCAACGTGGTCTGGAATGACTGAACATCATAAATGGTATGTTGCTTTTCATCTCCATAGAGAATGTAGTGTCTGGGATTTAACTGCACGTAATGCTAGTATTGTGTGTGTTACGACACAGTGGTTGAAATGGGCAGACTATGAAAAATGCATGTTCTTCATCAGATAGAAGTTAATTGCTTGCTTTGAGTAAGGCCAGCCATTGCTTTTCACAATCCATTATTTCCCACTGTGTGTCTTTAACACATACACATTAGACAGGGGTTCAGGGAAAGGCCTGGTTCTAAATATTAAACTGAACCTTTTAATGATGAAAAACAGCAGCAGGTAAAGCAATGATACAGTCATTTGGTATGAGCGCCTTTGAACAGATCCAGTGGCGGTCCCAGCTGCTCATTCCTAAAAGAAATAAGCAGTTAATTGAATGGAAGTTATTCCTGTCACAAAACAAACATCACATTAGATTTCACATATGTAAAAATGTTGCTGTACATGTACAAGTGTTTACAAATAAGTCTATGCAAGGAACATGGTGTTTTTATATAAATAGGTATCTGACTTTCCAGGGGACTCAGATACCAAAGTGAATAGCCTTAGTTCCCATTCAATGCCTAACTTTAAGCATCCAGGTTTAAATATTCTGGTACTCATGGTAGCATGCTACTCAACTGCTATTTATTTTTAAAAACTGCAGTAATGAGCACATAGGTGCTTTTGAAAATTTTACCTATACCCACCACCACATTTCAATGACAAAAACTTGCTTAAATGCTGATAATTTTTTTTTGGTAACTGAAATACACTGCCTCATCTGTTGTTACAGTAGCATTTGTAATGTTACAGGTGAAGTTGAAAATAAAACACTACTAGTATAAACCTACATTGTCGTAGGTTTGTAACTTAAGTAAAGTAATTTCTTTTCAACTGAAACCTGCTACAGTAGAACCTCAGTGTTATGAACACCTTGGGAAGGGAGGTTGTTCGTATCTCTGAACAAAATGTTATGGATATTCTCTCAAAAGTTTACAATTGAACATTGGCTTAATACAGCTTTAAAACTTAACCACGCAGAAGAAAAATGCTCCTTTCCCTTTTAAAAAAAAATTTTTTTAAGTAGTTTACATTTAACAGTACTGTATTTATTGGTCTCTGCTGCTGCTTGATTGCATACTTCCGGTGAGGCATGTGGTTGACTGGTCAGTTCGTAACTCTGAGATTCTACTGTATAAAGATCTTGGGTGAAAACCTGATGCCGTTGACTTAGGGGGTGAAATCCTGCTCCCATTAAAGTGTGGGAGGGATTTTTCATTTAGGGAGCTGTTCTGGTGTTTGCAGGAGATAAAAACTCAAAATTTCTCTCAGCTTATAGTACTCGCTCTTTCTCTCCTGTAATGAAATAAACAAACATGTTTAACTTTCAAACAGGCTCCAACTCCCCCTTGTGACTTCTTTAAATGTACATCTTTGCGTACCCAGGCCTGAACATGCCCTGTTACATCTGGATTTCCTTTAGGCTTGATGATGATTGAATAAATACAAAAAGCCTAGTCTTCCATTATTACTTTCCCTTTTTAGAACTACTCCCCATTTTCTTCCCTCATTCAAATTTGCTTTTATGTCCAGCCACCATCTCAAACTCCGTCTCTACAAAATTAATTTGTTAATTTTTCCCTCTAATCCCACTTCCTGCTTTCCTCTTCACTGGCAACTCCTCTGGTCTTTCTGTTTTTGCTGC